GATCACACATGAGAAGAATTTGGGAATTGTTATAGGCAACAATGTGCAATGTCAATCGGTAGTTGCGGCATAAAAAAAAAACTGCATTAATTCTCGGGCTGAACATATAATTTTGCTGCTTTTTAAATCGCTGGTAAGACCACATCTTGAATATACTGCGCAATTTTGGGCATGTGTTCTAAAGTAGGATTTTATGGTGCTAGAAAAAGTAGCGAAAGGCTCCAAAATTAATAAAACTTAAACCTCTTTAGTTTAGAAAAACAGTGCCTCAGAAGAGATATAAATATTATATAGATATATTTAGGGCCAATATAAACAATTGTCTGGAGATCCGTTCATATAGGGCTATACAAAGGACATGAGGTCAAGCATTTAGACTGCAAGAAAGGAGATTTTGTCTAAGGCAAAGGAAAGGTTTTTTTTACCGTGACTATAAGGATGTGGAATTCTCTGCCTGTAGAGGTGGTTTTATCAGTCTGTACAAATTTTCAAACAGTAACTGAATACTTGCAAAAACATATTAAAATGTATATATCCCTGTATGTGTGGGTTAATAGCTTTTTGATCCAAGGAGAGATCTGCCGTTCTGGGTTCAAGGAGGAAATCTATTTTATTTTAATTTTTTTGCTGCAAAATTGGAAAGTGTTTGAAACTGGATTTGCTTTTTTTTGTACATCAAAAACAGATGTGAGGCTGAATTTGATGGACACGTCTCTTTTCAGCTAAGTAACCATGTGAGAAGTATTTTAGCTCATCTGTTTGCAATTTAACTAACTTTGGTTTTGTTTTCTTTGCACAATTCGAGCCTTTATACATTTCTTAAATCCATGTTTCCTGTCTGGTACTATTGGGATTCCTGCTGCCTGCCCAGCTCCCCCTTACAAAATTCCTGTATTGAAATGAAAGCGGATACATGTGTAGATCTTGCGTTCGTTTTTTACTGATCTCTGATGCAAGAAATAAACCTGAGATAAAATAATTGCTTATTCTCTTGTAATAGAGACAAGACTGGCTGTAGTTATTCAGAGAGCCTGGAACTGACATGGGAATTTTCTGTTTTAGGTTATAGTAGGTTGTAGAGTTGTTCCAATTAAATTATCTTTAACCCAAGGTGCTCAATCCCTCCCTACCCACCATTCTAATTTAGCAGTTTAGTAAATAAGCACTTCCTATCTCATTCTCTCTCTATTGTGAGACTTACATTTATGGTAGTGTGTGTGTGTGTGTATGTATGTATATTTGGCGTTTTTCTTTTTTTTTTTTTTTTTTTAACCTCTCGTCTTCCTGTAAACTTGAGTTTGTAAGATATCTAGTCTTTTTAATGTTGTATTGTTACAAATTAATCCTTGGCATGGAAACAAAATCAAGACCGTATAGAAACAAATTTATACGTATTTACTGAAAATACAACATTTACTCAGGACGTGCTTGAGCGCGCTACCGCCCCCTCCCAAGATTTGTTTAATTATTTTTACTGCTGTAATTTGACCCCTAGGTGGCAGTATGGGATTAGCATCTTGCTAGTAAACTCTTGTAGTTGTATTGAGAGGGGGGAAAAAGAAAATATTCTTTACGTCGGGGCTTTTTTTACTATCTATAATATGAATAATTCTTCTTTTCAATATTTAAATGTTGGTATGCTTGGCCTTTAGTTTAATGTACATCTTGTTTAAAATGGTGTGGGATTAGCAAGGACGTGTCAAAATTGGAGGGGAAAAAAGACCTGTATGAGCTTCAAAAATGATTAAATTCCCTTGTGACTTTTCTGTAACTCTTGGTTTTTTGTTTTTTTTAAACACCCCCATTACAAATGAGGGATGCCTAGCAGGGGTTACATGGACGAGAGTGATGCCAAACTATGACATTATATAGAAATCCAGGAAAACCTAGAGGTGCAATCGGTCATCTGTCCACTAATGGAGTAGGGGGGCCTCAAAAGTGTAAATTAAAGCCGAGCCAGGATTCCCTGCAGGCTAGGACGCCTTGCATTTTATTCAATGGAATGCTGGATCCACCTAGGAGCCAGAACAAAGCAGAATAGTGCAGAGGAGTTACACTAAACCAAAGATTAGCAAAACATTCTAGTGGGTTGCTTAGCAAACTTATCACAATGCTGTCTTGAAAAAGGTCACCAGTAGAACAAAAAAACATCTGATTTAAGTTGCTGTTTTAACGCTTATAAAAACAGTTCAGAGATCGGTGGCTCTAAAACTTTAGCTTAATGAAGCAGTTTGTATAGCTCTTGCCGCTGCAGTCTCACAGGTCAATTCTATGCCATTTAGGAGTTAAATCACTTCCGTTTCTGTTTATGCAGCCCTAGTCACACTTACCCTGGCTGTGACTCACACAGCCTGTATGAAATAAAATGGTTTCATTTTCAATCAGATGTTAAACTGGTTTATATGTTTTTATCTCCTAATCTGTAAATTGAACTTGAGTTACCTCAAGGAGACTCCTGGAGGGTCTAGCAAGCGATTAACAGTGCAGTGATAAGAAATGCTAAATTAAACAGAATTGGAAATAAAGGAAGTATAAACATTACATGACTCTTTGCAGGATGTGCTTAGGAAGGCTTTGTAAGTCACATGCAGGGAGGTGGGGCTAGGGCTGCATAAACAAAGTGATTTGGCTCCTAAATGGCATATAATTTTGCAGTGAGGCCATGATCTTTACACCAAAACTACTTCATTAAGCTATAGTTGTTTTGGAGACTATAGTATCCCTTTAAAAGCCCCATTGCTGGTTTGTTTGATTCACTTGTTGGTATGCTCTCATTAATAGTCATCTCACAATTTATTTGGTAACTTGTCGACAGGTGTCTGGAAATTCAGAGAATCGAAACCTGAAAGTATATGGTTTCGGCTGTTTGCATAAATCATGTAGGGTAGTGGACTAATTTGAAGAAAAAGTAAAGTGCACACATAGATTAATAGACAAGATGCTATGTGTAGCTTCCTACACACAGTTGCTTGTGCAGTACAAATTTTATGAGTTTTAGTTTCATGGTTTCAACAACAAAACCAAAACAGGGCTTAGTTTACCTTATCATTCATCCATTATAAGGGTTCTGCTTGGATGAATTCATACTAAATATAGAATCCACTACACTTGCTTAACTATAAATTAGTTTCAAAACTAAAAAATGCCCAACTTTAGACAAAAATAATGGGTATTGTTTTTTAGTATAATTTATCACTGTCAATGTACCCTATTTTGGCAGTTCCTATTTTAGCAACCAAATACATGTTAATGAGATTAACCCACATACTTGTGAAATCCGTCCTCCTGGTGCTCTTTGCGGTGCTAAACCAAGGACGTTGTAAGATTTCCCACGTGAGTTGGTTAAAGGAATACTCCAACCAGGAGTTGACTCTCCTGAGCGCAGTCCTGCCTTGCACAGCTTGGTTTAGAAGAGCTAACAGAAGCCACTACTTTTAGTAGTTGAGGTGGCCAGCGGTGTCTCGTGGACCCCAGGTAATAAGTTAAACCGTTCAAAAACTATTTGCTTAGACACTTGCCACCATAAACCGGTGTCTTTAAAAAATAAATAAATAAATACAAAAAAACTTAAACCTTGTGGGTTTTGAAGCTCGTTTACAGTTGAGTGAGTGTTGGAATACCTTATGAACTAGGACTCCTATCACTAGGACCTCTTCTGTGCCTATTCAGTATTAGTGTGTAGGCGTTCATGATAAGCTCGGCAGTGTTATGGGAAGTTAAAGAAGCGTTGAGTCGAGGCCAAGTCACATACTGCCTCATGAGAGCTTTGTTCAGAAGCAAGCATAGCACAAGCTAATGTAAACAAATATAGGATTTCAAAGATCCTTTTTTTTAATCTGCGTATTTTGCATTTGAGTTGCTTTTAACACCTCTGTTCTAGGAGAGGGGTAGAAAATCAAAATGCAGCAATCTAGACCCCTTTAGATTTATTCTTTTACATGTACATTTTATATTATTGCTTATCTAACATTTATTGCATCCTGTCTAATTATTACCCAGTCTGTGATGGCTGATATTTGTTAGCATGCACTAGAGGAGGTTGGAGCTAAAACTGGATGAAAAACAAATTGCTTATGATCTTTGCTGAAACTGTCAGGGGAACAAAGATTCTATGTAACCTGAGCCTTCAAGGTCTGTTCTCGACATGCCAAAATACTTTCTGCTGGAGTGGTCCCACGTGTGTCTCTGCCCAGGGGTATATGAAGAAAAACACGTGCCTGGGTCTGTCATGTGATATGCAATTATTAGAAGTGAAAACTTGTTTTTCCTATCTTTGTCTATTGGGAAGCCATTATAGGTGCACCCCGAATGTCTTCTAAGAACTTTTATTCCTTTTAAACAAAAAAACTCTTGAATATATAAACAAAATATATTATTTTTTTTAAACCTTTATTAAGTCCTTGTTCCAGTCTGCATACAAATCAGAATTTCATTCCTTTAAATGGCGAAGACGTGAATACTTCTTGATAGCGGACTCTAAAGCCATCATTTTAGAGACATCTCGGTGAGCTAGAAGCCTTAGATCTAGCTAGCCAAAACTGGCTAGACCAGAAGTAGGGGCCTAAATGCTAGCTGTAAAGTGTTTTCTATCATAGTAGGCATACCCCACTTTTAAGTACACAATGGGACCACAGCATTTATGTAAAACGAAAATGTACTTAAAGTGAAGCAATACCTTCAGTGATTTTATTTCCAGTGATTTATTTTAGTGATTTCCTGTGGACTTTTATTCAGTTAAAACAAACAGTAAAAAGAAAAATCTCATTCCAGATTGTAACATTTCTTTAATGATTTACTCATCTGACAACCTTAAACTGGGAGGAAAAGTAAAATAAACTTGCCCACGGGGCCCTTTTCTGCCAATCCTGTGCCAATTTGTTAGCAGCTTAGTAGCACACTTTGTTTAGAAACACCTTCATCAATTTAAAGCATTTATGGTTTAACTTTGAATCCTCAGAATTCTGGCTAGTGCAGCTAAGCTGTGAAGTCATAGTTATAGAAAATGGCAGGGTAAAGGCTTTCACTGGATGGCAGCTGATTGCAGAATATGAACAATGTATGGGCAAAATAAAATGTATGTATGTGTTCAACTAGGAGTAGACCTTATAAATTTGAGCTTATTAACCTGTGCCATGTCAGAAGGTGTGAAAAGTTCTTGCCCCAAAGACACTGAACTGAGCTGTTCCGGACGAGAATAGAACCTTCCATTTCCGGTACACTCGCACACAGAAGAGGCGCGGGAATGTCTGTACTCGCGGGTATACTTGAAGTGAGTGTATGTAAAGCTGGGTATGCCTGTATAACACTCCCAATGAACTCCCACAGCTTTAGAGAAGCTTTAGTGTCAAAATCCTTTTAATACATACAACAATCGGCCAAGCATAGCGGGTGTTAAGTGCCATATTAACGTATTTCTAATTAACTGTCACTACCTGATGCCCCTTATTCTCTAGAGATCACCTCAAGGCCCGTCAGTCAACAGAGGAAGTGATGTCTCTGTTAATTGGGGTGATAAGTGTGGCGGAGGTAAGAAGGGATCTTACTAATCTCTGCCACAATTCCATATTTCAGGGGCCATGAATTCTCAGGAGTATGCTTGGGCATTCAGACATCTCACAGAGAACTTCCTTGAGTCCACATCTGTTGTGAATTCTCCACTAATTCTCGTGTGAATGCGTACGGCACGGAGGGTTAACCAACTTACATAGTTTTGTTGGCTTTGGCTCTCAAAGTATTTCCATTTTAAAATATAAAGAAAGGAGCTTGTCTCCCACAATCCCTACGTTTGAACCATCCGTGAAAATGGTTTTCTCAAGTATGTCTTTTCCTTTCTGTATTTAGTAAAAAAGAAGCTCTCATAAAACTAATGTAGACAGATTATAAGCACTATTTATTAGGCCAACATATAATGCGGATTCTGAGCGAGGAAAAAAAGTACAAATAGAAGATGCCAAAAATGACCAGGTTGGCAATAGCTAGAAGGTGTTTAGTAGGCTAAAAAATAAACACTGGCTCTTGATGAAAATGTAATGTTTCCATAAAAGTGGACTTTCCTTAGTGACTTCTTTGCTGCTGTGCCACGGCCAGGATCTGCCTTCTTGTCTGAAATGATCAGTTTTGATGATCTCAGCCCGTCGTCCATTGCTTTCCCATGAGAAAGCATTGAGAGGTTAGTGTCCATGAAAAATCTCTTGATCATTTGAAGTGCGTTTCACTCTGTTTTGGCTGAAGTGCCTCTAATGGCTGTCACTAGAGGCAAAATAACCCTGCAATGTAAACCTTCCATCAGCGCAATTGCAGAGTTAAAATTACAGGGACATGGCACCCAGATCACTTCGTTGAGATATGTCTATAGTTTATAAGACACAACAAGGCTGAAATGTTTTTTTATTTTTTATATATAGAATACATTTCTGGCTAATGTTGACTTATATACTTAAAGTTCAGACCATTTTATTTTTTTCCAACTTTCCTCAATATCTTTATGTAAGGAAAAATTAGTTGATGGATCCACTGGATTTTTATTTTATAGCAAGTGGCAATATATTGCTTCACAAATTATGGCTGTGTGCAAACCATAATCGGGAAATTTTTTATTTAAACAATTGATTCCCTTGAGATGTCTTCTTTGTGGTGCTATTTCCTTGACAGATTTTTCAAGTCTAATTGTGAAATTATATGCATTATTAACTCTCTTGAGTGTTGCGATCCAAAATAACGTGATCGGTTGGGATTGTCGAACCTGGTCAGATGCAAAGGAAATAGAAAAGGGTGTGTAAGTTTTTATCAAACAAGATAAAACTTGCACCTCATAACTGCTATAAAAGAATGAGACAGGTTGGCGCGAGCAGGCAATATATGGATTACAAATACAGTAGTTGACCTTTTTTAAGTGCAAACTGTTTTTTTTTATAGACTGGAAACAAGCTCCAATAATATATTTCACAATCACCTGACTACATTTTGCTCACTTATAGAACAGTTCTAAAAATTGATGCCTAGCTAGAATAGCTTTGAAACAAAACACACATTATGCAGACAGCAGTAAATCAGTTGTTTATTATGATACCTTGCACCCCATAACCTTTGTAAGTACACTAGGTGGCTGTGATGTTTAATGTACTGTTTACTAACTGCATGTATTGCTGTATTTAACCCCTTAAGGACCAAACTTCTGGAATAAAAGGGAATCATGACATGTCACACGTCATGTGTCCTTAAGGGGTTAAAATGACTTGTTTTCATGTTACATGCAAGATCCTGCCTATTCTTATTTTTCTTGTGCAACTTCTCCGTGGATGATCTGTAGCAATTTGGTTTTCAGGATTTTTTTATTTACATTAGACATCTTTAATTTAATGAATCCTTTTTTTTTTTTTTTTTTTCACAGGATTAGCAAACTGAAGTGACTAGAACATGGCGTGGAACGGCGGACAGAACAGTAATGGTGCCAATATCCGTTCTGAAAATCAGTATTCATTGCAGCATACTCCAAACACACTCGCACCTGTGCAAAAACAAATGCAATGTGCACCTCAGAACGCTTGCAGTCAGAGTGGCATGAATGCGGAAAGATTCTACTCCAATCAAAATGCACAAGGGCGATATATTGAAGGTTTGCTGACAGCAAAAACAAATGAAGATATGTGTAGATTAGAGAACACTATCTTGGCTATTCCACCATATGGCCATACTAATCAGATTCCTCAGAATAAGGGGTCTACAGTATCCAGCAATGTGCCAGGCAATCAGCTTCCTGTTGAGAGAGGAACATATCAACCTCCTGACTACCCAACTCAGAATCTTCAACTAATGCAAAGAGCGAACTATGTTGCCCAGCAGTATGCCAACTTGTCATCTCAACAACCATCAAAGTCACAACAGCTACTACAAACAGCACCTGCAGTACAGCGTTATAATCCCAATGGTAATGCGGTTTCCATCAATTACCATACAGTACCATCACAAAGTTATCAGCAGACTGTCAGTTATGGAAATTCTCAGAATCGGGGACCACAACCAACTCAGAATTTTGATAAACCCATTACATATGCTTCCTATAGACAATCCAGAAGCAAGGTTAACCATTCCCAGCCAGTTCTGCCAAAAGTGCCAACATCATCTCCGGCTCAGTATAACATACAAAAGGGAGGAGCTCAGGACTTAAAGTGGAGTTTCCCTTCCAATATTGCAAGTAAAAATGCCAGTGAATGTCTTCAGAATCTGCAAGCCCAATTAATGCCAAACTGCCAGACAGGGCAGTCAGAGGGTTCTGTTTTAGTTGATAGGTCTTCAGAAAGTTACCAAACAAATACACACAGTGCCTCTATACCAAACCAGCCTGTTCACAATCAAACAAATGTGAATGCATCACAGACATTTAATGTGCAGCATGGACAGTCTTTTTCCACCCAAGCACAAAATTACCTCCCACAAGCTGCTCTGCAACCAGTCGCAAATAATCCTGAACGGGCTCGCGAGTTGCAAATGTTGCAATATATTAAGACTTTGCCCCCAAACAGCAAAGCAAGAGAAGAGTTTTATTTGCTAATTAATCTATATAAAAAAGTCAAGCAAAACATGTTTCAGTTGGTTTTGGAAGGAGAACGTAAAATGCAAAATGCGCAATTGCCAGTCAGTGCTACACAAGAAGTTGTGAGTTCCTATCCCGAAGCTGAACTGAAATCTGTTTTAATGCATCAGCCAATGGTATCCAACGTTCCAGTACCACCAGCAAGTTGTAGGGCACAACAACAAAATGTGACGCAAAGTCCCTCACTTCAGATGAGGGGAAATGGAAACCAAGCCAATCACTCTTCCTCACAGAAGCTTGAACCTCTGAGTCAAACCTATACCTCTGAAGGGTGGAATGTAAATGCTCAAGCTTTGTATTCTGTGTCTGGTCAGGAGAATCCTATGAACACACGTAATGATTGTAATCAGTCTTCCAGTTCTGACTCTTATAAATTAGCCCAAGAAAGGGCTGTGACATCCCATTTATTACAGAACAATTCGGCTACAGTGAACTTGTTGCAAAACCTAAAAAAACTTTTGCCTTCCAGTGTTGGCAACCAAATGGAATGTGTTCCTCAAACGAAAACATTGCCACAGCACAGTGATTCTTCAGCAAGTCCTCAGATGAACAGAAGAACTCCTAATCATAACGTAAACTTTGTGTCTGGTGTTGGTCAGACAACTACTGTAAATTTCGAAAATCAAACTGATCAGTCAAATAACCAAACCAGCACTTTGCCGCAGCAGGCTAATTTTTCTGTAAGTCCTCAGCAAAGCAGGAAGATGCCTCAATTTCAGGTTAATGTAACCCTTGTACAAAGTAATGGTCCACTAAGGAATAATGCAACTATTGAAAATACCAGTGGTCCATCGAGTATCCAGGAAACCCCTTCACCAACGGCACAAAGTGCAGATGTTTTATCCAGTTCATTAGAAGCCATAGATACTTGTCTCACAATGTGGAAGACTAAGCCACATAATGTGTCTGGGGCAAATCAACTTTTGTTAAAACAAAATAAACAAACTATAGGGGACAGCACTGCCTCAAATGGTGATTGCTTAAATGAATGGTTAAAAGACCCTTCTGTCATATGTAATGATGCTCCTGTTTCAATATCTGGTATTTCTTCACTTAAACAAGAAGCAGGATCTGCTAAAGTTGGTGAGCCTCAAATTGCCATTGTTTCCCCACTAGTACAATCCAAAACAAAGCGTCAGACGGAGCTCCAGCCTCAAATAACCCACGAACCAGTCACCCAAGAAGCTACTACCCTGCCCTTTAACATTACAAGTGAAAAAGTTAATTCTTATCTGGGCAGTATGGAAAATATCCCTGGCACGGCTCATGGAGGCTTCAAACGTCGGTTATTAAGTGAACTTGAGGTTGTAAATTCGGTTCTTCAAACAATAAACTCTGGTAGAACAATGCCTCTGTTGCAAGAGGATACACAAAATACCTCATTTGTACAAAAACAAAGCATCAGTGAATCTTCCAACCAGCTGCTTATCCAAACTTCAAATCAAGAAAGTGAAACCGAACAAGACGGTAGCTTTCAAATATCTGGTATCTGTTCCCTCGCTGAAGGAAACTCTTTCTATGACTCATCAGTTGCCATGATGTTTGTCAATTCATCATTACCACAGGAAGACAACTTGTGCTTCACAAAAAGTGAGGTGCAGGATGGTCAGGAAAGAGAACCCGAACAATGTTCTTCTGAGACTCCACAGATGGAAAATGCTACAGTTGATGATCACAAACTAGAGACTACAGATGAGGTAAAGGACACTGATGCAACCTCCCATTCTATAGCCTTAATGCCTGAGTATTTACATGGATCAGACACTCTGAACCTTAATGTAGAATATTCTTGTACTGAGCAGTCTCCACATGAAATGGCTAGTGCTGACTTAGACTCCACAAAATTATCTGATCAGTTGACTGAGCTGTTATCGGAATTCCCCTATGGAATAAAAAATTATGTGTCAGAACTTGCTGATAAAGTAACAAACCCTGTATCTTCACCCATTAAGAAAGAACAAAGTCCGGTTGGTAATGGATGTTTCTTAGTTGAAGAACCACCTAGACTTCAGCAAGTATTAAAAGAAGTGCCTTCAGTTAAGACTTTTTCTATGTCATTTAAAGAACTACCTCAAGCTGAGCACCCAAACGATGAAGAGAGTAATTTAGGTGACAGTGTATCTCTATCCGTTAAGGAAGACCTACCTCCACTTGAGAGAGAATCGTCCCTACTTCTGGAAAATTCTTCATGTTCTGAGAAATTAAGTGAGCCGCCCCTTCCTCAGCTTGAGAGAGAATCACCACTAGTTCTGGAAAATTCTATGTATTCTGAACAATTAAGTGAGCAGTCCTTTGACAGCATACAGATTACAATACTAAGTCAGGAAGAAAGTGCTAAACTTTTTCCTGGTACAGCAGATACAGAGTTGTTGCATGATTTGCCTGTGGAAAAAACGGAGGACACAAGTAATGCAGTGCTGGATGACTCCCAGTCCAAAGATGGTATTGAGAAGTCTGATAAGGAGAATGTGGAAAGTTCATCAAAGAAAGAAATGCCTGATGAGTTTTGTTGCCTGTTTAAATGGCTCACGTATGCATATGGGAAAGCGCCAAAATGCTCGTGTAACTTAGCAGAAGTCAAAAGCGTTAAACAGTCTCTAGTAAACACAGTGCTTGACGAAACATCTGGTTCTTCTGACATAAATGATTCATCAAAGCCCATATTACCAAATTCCACAAATACTAATTTTATAGATAGTGAGCCATCTCCAAACTCTGTGTGCCAATCTTCAGGTGAAAATGAAGTGTCCTCATTTGTGAAGCAGACAGAATGCAAAGAGGTGCAATCAGTCGCTAAATTTAAACCTCCAATTTCAAACAGTACCCCAAACTTGCACGTGGAGAAGAAGTTAAAAAGATCTGAATCCTGGGGAAAGAAAGCTACCAAATCTGTTTATGAAAACAACAAATATGTCAAACTTGGAAAACCTGACTGCAAGAATAGTTCAAGAGAGGAGGCTTCAAAAAAAGCTAAATTTGACTCCACATCTTCAAGAAAACCAGATAAACTGATAATTAAGACTGACTTTTTGAAAAACAGGAACTTTAAAAAAGACAGAAACCGTTCACCAGAGTCAAAAAGTACTCAATCGGCAAATGGTGCAGGAGATTGTTCCCAAACATCCACCTCTCAAAACCCAGCCAGGGAGGTCGTGAAAAAACACAATTCAAAAAAAGCTATAGGTGAAAATGTAAAACAGCCTGCGCGGCAACATCATTCCACAGAGCGGTTTTCAAAACCTAGCCTGGAAAAATCCAAACCTTTCTCGTCCAGCCTTGATAGTGACATGCCGATTAAATCTGCTAACAAGTGTGATAAACCAAAAACCTTGCCAGATTACCTGCAAAGAAGACCTTCTAACAGCCACGGCAAAGGGCAGGAGCCAGTATTCACACAAACAAAAGGTCAAGAAAAAAATTCGAATAAATACTCACATCCTGAGAATCAAAAAATTGGACCTAACTGGAATGGGCATCGAACAAGCCGTATGAACATAAAATCTCCTGCAAAAGCTAAACACATTTCCTCAAAAGTGAGCTCTGAGCAAGCAACGTTAACTAAAAATTTAAATCGCTTAAAAAGAGAACTATCAAAAAGTAAAAGCTATATATCAAACAATAGCCGGCAAATTAATTCTAAGCAGAGCACTCAAGGGGGAATGTCAGCCTCAAATAAAGTGTCAGATCTGACAAATTCATCAGCAAGTAAAGATAAAATTTATTTGGGTCCTTTTCATACGTTGAAAAGTCCATCTCAGAATAGCATTAGTCTAACAAAGCTGGAAGTCAGGTCTGCACCAGACAAATCTGGATTCATTCACGGTGACAGGAGGCGTAAGTCATTTGAGCAAGCTTCACGGACTAATTCGTCAAGTACTGTTGTGAAGAAGACAAGTAGCCCAAAAATGTTAGAATTTAAACTCTGTCCTGAATTGTTACAGAAAAGTCCTTTGGCACATGTCCACTCGGAAGAGCCAAAGACCAAAAATGAACAAAATAGAATTGAAGGTAAGGTATAATGTTTTCTTTAGTCTATTTCTATATAGCTGTTCATTTTGGATTTGCCTAAAATGTATGTTTCTTTATTTTGTAGGAATTAAAAGCAAGAAGGAGGCATGGTTTAAAGATATTCCATTTAAAAAACGTAGACTTGAAAGCTTTGAAGAACAAAGTAAGTTAATACGGTCTTCAATATGTTTTTGGATGGTCGTGTGTCTCTACCACTTCAGATAAGAACAGCTGTAATATGAGCATTTTGTTGCAATCTATATTGGGTCCATAACATATGGCTAACATGTTGGGAATTTGAATATGTAGTAGAATTTGAATATGTAGTAGAACACTTGAAGCACCATAACTACTACAATGCACTGTAAGTAGTCAAACTGCACACTGCAGTGATTATGATGCTTGTAGTGATTAAGGGTTTAGAAAATGTATCCCTTCTGTTTTTTCCAGTAGAAAGCTCACCTGTTAAATGTTTTAATGTGATGCTTGCTGCCTTATTTTCTCTCCACTCATATCTTGAAGCTGTTATTACAGAGGTGGTGATAATGCAGCAGAATGACTGAAATGTGTTTCACTGTGCTCAGACACAATTTATATTACGTATAGGCATCAGATTGCACTTTGACACTTTATATTTTACCCCCTACAGAGGACCAAGCTTCTTCACAGTCTTCAGGACCTACTCAGTCTTCTCCATTAACCGAAACCGATTCTGCACGGCAATATCAGGATTCCAAAGCTGCAACGTTTCAGGCTTTCCAAAAGATTTTTCTGGAAAAGAGAAGCCGGAGCCTTGAAAGCTAGCTGATCAAAACACCTTTGACTTGAAACTGCTGTAATGGCTGTTTGACTTTTTTGTTTTGCCTTCTTGTTCTGTGAAGGTATCTTCACTACAAAATTTACAAAACAGCTGTTGATGATCCAGTATTAAATAGGGCATGTTGACCCTGACACTAAAATATGCAGTTTATTTTTTCACTTTTTTATGGTTTTAATTTAATGTACGTCAAACACTGGCGGGTTTCTTTGTTTACAGTATGCTGCTATAAAAAGGGTTTACACTTTCTCTACATTAAGACTTTTTTTTTTTCTCTCAGCAGAAGCCAAAAAAACTCATGTTTTCCTACCTGAAACGTGAGCAACAAACTGCTGTTAAAGTGAGCAGATTACATTGTGAACTTTAGCTGCTAGGTCAAAACTTTGCACTATGTTCATTATAACAGTTTTTTGTTATGAAATCTTTGTTATAGAATTATTTTTCACAAGTTGAATAAAACCTTTTTCTTTTGTAAAGATGGTTTGAAAAGTCTCTAATTTACTAAACTGCATGCAGTTACTTAATCATGTTTGTTTTTTTTCATTTAAAATTGAACTCTTTGTTATATTCTCTATGCTGTCCCTGTAAAAAATAAATAATTGTGTATTTAGATTTAAACCTGCACCACATATGATTGAATTTACTAAAATGTTGCACCTTTTAATACCCCAGTGAATAGCTGCAAGAGTTCTTAGTCTTTTTCCTCTTATACCTTAGTTTGTCATTACAGAACTTATCTAATATTGAACTAAACATCTTCTGTTACTTTAGATTGTTAAAGGACTAAGGACCATGCTGACCGTGGCCAGGGGAATGGGTTAAAAATGTTTTAAAAAGTGTGTTCCCATCCCATCCACCTGTTTGCATTTGTAATATGTGATAGGTTTCAGGATGAGTGTACAGGACACATAATCTCCTAATGAAATGTTAAATCAGCTGGCCTGTGGCATATTCTTTACTATATTTTAAGAGTAAGAAAAGTCAAAGTGTGCGATTACATGTAGATTCTCTGTAAACATGTTTACTTGTGCAATGTCTGTTCAAATGAAATACTCACTATGTTCTGTGATACATTTTGATTGAAATGGCAAAGTAGTGGAAGGATTTTACCATTACATTTTGAAATGGACAAGCCAATTGTAATTGCTAACTATGTGGACGCATGTATTTTTGTATAAAATTTGGTTGATTAATCAGCACCATTGTAAAGGAAAATGTGGGTAAAATAGCACTTCAAATTCCTGTTTAAGCAATGTATATGTGATGTGCACCCCTCCCAGTTCCGCATGATACTTAGCAAGTGTTCTAAAAAGGCATTTAAATTGTAGAAGTCTTGTACGATTGCGGTCAAACCTCCAAAGTGGTTAACATTTTCTTTCCAAACTTAATGAGTGGTTATACGCAAACAGTACTGGTATATTTTGGCCATATTGCAACTAAAATTGGCTCCCCATTTTAAATTACACAAAATGCTAAACATTGTACTTGTGATATTACCATATGATTACAGTAACCTGTCTGCTTGTCAACAGCTGAGAACTGCAGCTAACGTTTATATAATTTATTTATTTTTAAGTGTAAAGAAGCCTGGATTCCATACCAATATACATTGTTTAAATTAAGGGTGGTGTAAATATGACATGACACCACTGCAATTTCCAAAAATGTTCCTTGCATTCTGAATGAGTTTGTCAGATCAAATTATGCAGATCTATTTTAAAAAGGGCTAGAATGAACATGTTTGTTGATTCTTTATCTAACAAGAAATATGCCGTCATTGATTCAAGAATTACATTTTATTTTTCCCCTTTCCCTTTTTGTGGCATCAAATGGCCATCGCTTCAAATTGACGGTGTTTTTATGGATCAACAGGATAAAACAATATTTCAAAGATTGAACACCCCTGTGGAGAATTATTTGTCAAGTTCGTTTCGGGCATTGTATGCAGCCGCTATTTGTAGGTTGGATGTGGCGTGAGTTATCCCGGCGATGGCAGAAATTAAAGGAACAATTCCGTTTTCTGTGCTCCTCTTAGGTTGTAAGCTTGTTTACGCAGGGCCCTCTTCACTGGCTGTTCCCATATGTCAAACATATTTATTAGAATTGATTGTCTTTATGTATTATACAGTGCTGATGAATATGTTGGTGCCAAATCTATAATTGTATGTTTAAGGGTCTCCATGCTGCTCCTGTAAAAATAAAAAATACAAACTGTAACCCATTATGGGGCACACTAGACTCCTTTGGTAGCTGCTTTGCCTTCATAATGGTTTTGTCCAATCTAATATATAAACAATTGGGGACATAGGGCATGTGTGGCAATTCCTGCCTCTGCCAAACATTAGTGCTATTATGAATAATTATGCTTGCTGCAATGACACTGAAACGCCTTAATGAGGTAATGCCTCTAGTATTTAGTTTCCTTTATTAACCGGTCCATTTTCATGGTGTTGGTGAAGTATTAGAATGACAGCCAGGCATACTTGAACGCAGTGGTTCCAAACCCAGTCCTCAAGTACCCCCTGACAGTCCAGGGTTTAGGGATTACCCAGTTGTGTCTAAGGTGTTTTTTTTAGAGGGGGAACAACTAATTTTCGGTCCATGCACAAAGTGGGTTGCAGCATAGATATTACTTAAAATCTTAATATTCAACCCGAAAACACAAAGGAAATGTATCAAATCCTTATATTGCATGTAATGTATGCAGATGGACTCCTGATGAGTTGGCTGATGTTTTTGGAAATATTTGCAATTTATTATTTGAAATGAAGATATTAAAGCCACTGTTTGCAAATTCAATGAGCGCAGAAATCGTTTTAGCGTGTAAACATTTCATGACCTTATTCTAAATGCAATTCTTTCAGTTGTTGCTACGAACATTTCGAGCATTTATGGGTTTTTTTTTTTTATTATTTTTTTTTTTTTTTGTGGAAATGTTTTTGGGGATAATTCAGTTAAAAAGTACATTTTAAACTCCCTTGCTTTTGGCATGTTTTGTAAGATAGGTGGGGTTTCCAAAACTGTGCAAAGCTATTCTGTTTAATATTATCTGCAGTTTATTTGTGGATTTACCTGTATCCATTGCATGGTAAACTATTTAAAGTGAAAAGTCTGAATCCAAGATAAGATATTCTACACCATTTTAACAATGTATATAACTGGCAATTTTCAATCTGTCCAGGAGTGTTTGAGTTTTTAAATAAATCCAGTTAACCTTTAGTATGTTGGGCAAAGTGCCTCCTCTAAGGATTACTTCCCCATTCCCTGCTCGGTGTAATAGCAGGAATTGCTTAAGAGAAATAGTCTTGAACAGGACAAAGCAAGTCCTAATCGAACAGTTTTCTCTGAAAACCACTACAGTCTCAGAATCTGTTAAAATTCCTTGGAATAAGTGACCACTGCCAAGCTTCAAAGATACTTTGTGTGACGAACTGAACCTTGTCACGGGTTCTGGGAGGGGTCTGCAGTATACCTTGCCCAACGCACTTGAAAAGGCTCGGTTTATGAGAGTTATGTAATTTTCAAAAATAAGACTTCCAGTAAACTTCTGAACCCCTGAACTGATCTGGATGATTTTTGGATATATTTGGTCACCCAGATCAGGGGATGTAACATTTGTGGGGTTTTATGTATTTTAGGGTACTTTTGGGGTGTTTTAAAGCTATATATAGGGATTGCTATAATCACAATACTCCCCTGAGTATAATCACTAAGCTCTTGAAAGAGCTGTTCCTGCCACGCTCTCTGGACTAGGCGAGGTCTACCCACTGGAAGCTGGATCCTCGTCTTTGGTACAGGGTGGGTGGATGGCAAGGCCACAACCAAGCTGTGGCAGTTTGTGAGGTTTACAGTGGTTATGTTGCTCACAAGTACTAGGAAGCAGCAATTGACGGAGGTACCCAGTCAGGGTGCCAGGTGGTTCTTCACATTCGTAGCAGCGGTGGAATGGCTTCCTAGGACTATAGAAGCATTCTGGAGACACCAATATTGTATGGATTTATAATTAAGGGCAATGCTAGCATTCGTGCAGCGCCCTTGTTTGCGGAGGAATTCAGCGAGATGGAGCAAGCTAGCCCCCGGGCAGCATCCCCAAATGAGGAGTTCCAGTGAAGACTACAAGGCGCACTGGCACAGGAGTATGACCCTGTTTCAGCTGAGGATGAACTGGTATGGAAAGCTGTGGTACAACGAGAGCTCAGGCACTGGAGCGGTCTCAAGCTCAAGGGGGAGAGAGCCTTACCGGTTCAGATCTGCGCAGACTGAGGCAAACAGTGCTGAGGTTGCATTTACTGATGGATCCGCCCTGGAAAGAGTGGATTATAGACTTTCAGCGGCTGATCAGGAAGGAACTTGGCTGAATGAGGCATACTGGACGCTACAATGGTACTCATTGCAGCAGTGCTCCTGGATGGATGAGTGATGGTCCAGAGGGTTATGACTTTGATGGTCCTGGTCTACTATGGGATGCTATAGAGAAGGAAAGTAATTTCGGCAGCACAGAGGAGTCTAGATACTGGGACATTTGGGAATACCGTATAGACGCGCTGGAGCTTCCCAGTACTGCAGGCCTGGGACCAGATATCACCCGTCTGGTCGCTATAGAATGGGAACTGGAGCAGGAATACCAGAACCTAAGAGAAGCAGTTCAGCACCAGGCAGTGTTACCAGGAGTCGAGGCAGTCGATCTGACTCCCCAGCGGCATTATGGGTTAAAGGGAAAATGACTCTCCCCAGCACCAGGCAACGTCACAGGGAGAGTAGATAGTCTGTCCCTCATCCCAACAGAAGCAAGAAGCAAGTGGGAGTGGTGACGGTTAGTCCCACTACCCAGCACCAGGTAGCGTTATCAGGAGTTGAGACAGTCGGTTCGACTCCCCAGTGGCAGCTTACCTTACAAGAAGAGGAGACAACCGGTCTCTCTCCCCAGCGACAGGGCAAGTTATTGGGAGTGGAGACGGTCGGTCTCACTCCCCAGTGGCAGTGTGCATTACAGGGAGAGGAACATATTGCCCTTTCTTCTCAGCGGCAGCTAGAGCCACCTTGGGTGGGGACAGTCTGCCCCCCTTCCCAATCACAGGGAAAGATATAGGGAGTGGGGACGGTCGGTCCCACCCACCAGCCGCTGGTGCTGTCGGCCAGAGACAAGCCCCCTGATATGGATGCTGCAAAAGGGACCGAGGTCTCTGCACCAGCCCTACAGGGATGCTGGGCAGCCCGCCCAGATCCCCATCTGCGGAATCCCGGCCAAGATGAGGATGACAGCGGCCGCTCCTCTGACTTCTTCCCAACGGAAGAGCTGGCACCCAGGCAGAGGGCAATTGGCCTCTGCGCGCCCCTTTCACTTTGTCCAGGGCCTGAATACACGCAGGCCATCCCAACAGCGGAGCTAGCATTAGGGCAGATGTGGTTTGCTGCTGGATGACCATTGTACTAGCCAGCTGTAACACTGGCTACGGGGCAGAGGGGACAACGGGCCCTGCAATATACCTTGCCCAATGCACTTGAAAATGCTCTGTTCATGTGAGTTATGAATTTTTGTACTCTAGACAGAGAGACCGACCATTAGCCCTGATTCCCTGGAACTGTTTTGGGCAAAGGACCATGTGCAAGGTTGGTCAAAAATAAGACTTCCAGGAAATTCCTGAACCCCTGAACTGATCTTGGTGATTTTTGTATATATTGGTCACCCAGATCAGGGCTATCGGTGGATGTAATAGTTGTGGGGTTATATATATTTTTATGGTACTTTTGGAAGTTTTTAAAAGGGTGTTTTTTTTTTTTTCCCTCTCTGCTTGAGAGATAATCTGATTGATTAGAATTTGTACAGTTACTGATCCAATTATCTCCCATGCAGAGGGGAGGGATTGAATGCTGTGTGTGGGAGTGTTGTGCCTTGTAACCTTATTGTTATTGGTCTGTGAAGTTGCAAATCAGTCTACCATTAGGTTCAGTTGCGTATACCCGTTGCATGAGGATTGTCATACAAGTCCAAGTGTGGCTCCCATTAAACAGATTTGGTTACCCCTTCAAGAAGTCTTGGCTCGTGTTTGGGGGATTGGAGAGCTACATTCACTCTGGGGATTCCTATAATCACAATATTCCCCTGCGCATAATCACTAGCTCTTATACAAATCTGTTCCTGCTATGTTCTCTGGACTAGGAGATGTCTACCCACTGGATCCTGGTCTTGGGTCCAGGGCGGGTGAAGAACAGCGAGACCCCAACCAAGCTGCGGCGGTTCATGGGATGTACAGTGGTTATGATGTTCCAGTGCAGTGCTTATGGTGCTCGCAAGTACTAGGAAGCAGTGATTGATGGGGTCACCCGGCGGTCCGTCACACTTTGCAAGACACAACTTTTAAAAGATAAACCAAATACATATCATTATATAAAATCTCTTCTGTAAATTGTTTGTAAATAACAGCTTTAGATTGGCTGTCACATGCCTTGTGTTTGTTTTTTCTTTCTTTATATGTGTGAATTTTTTTAGAATATTTGATAATTCTGATGTAATTCTGAAATTGATGATTCTGTGTGGAAACCTAGATATCTTAAAGGGGTATTTCCAGTTTAGCTAAATCTTAAAATGAAATTGAAGATTATGCTAGCGTTAGTGTACTTATAATCTTAATTTTAGTAATGACAGGAGGCGAGTATTTTGCATTAACTCTCTTTACTAACTCCACACAGCAGTAAAGAAAAGTGAGAAACATTAACCAATCAACAATGCAGTAGGAGGTACAATATTCACAGTGATGAGGCTCCTCCCCCTCTTTCGAAAGCGACATCAGAAACAAATTTCCCTCGATAAATCCAAAGTCTTGTAACATGCACCAACGGGTGAACTTTCCAACTGAGCCGGTCTAGAGGCCGGAAGATGGTCCAAACGTGTCCATCCTGAGTGTGAGCTGTAATATCCTGAAGTTATGCTGAAAAAGAACGTGGAAAAGGTTAGGTACTGATCTTGCAACTGTTTGCAGTAATGAAAATAGACCAGATACAAATTCCACTGACAATGAGACATTCATAGCAGAATGACAGTAACAGATAACAGGGACATAAATAGACCTGGTACAAACATGATATCCTGTAGAGTGAGTAGGAAGATAGTAGAGGGGAGAAAGCCCACAGTGTAGGTATACTCACGTGAGAACGTATCCCTCGCGGGTGTGGTGGGTGGGAAAATACTCGCCTCCTGTCATTACTAAAATTAAGATTATAAGTACACTAACGCTAGCATAATCTTCAATTTTACAACATGACAGGAGGCTTCATATTTTGCATTTTTAACGCTGATGAAGGATAGACGCGGCTGCCCCCGTGTTCGGGCGGAAATAGAAGGTCCGAAAGGTCGCTTCGCGTGACAAATCCGCGGCTCGTAGGATGTCTGCCAGTGATGCGCCCGCGGTGAAAGCCGACGAGGCCGCCGCACCGCGAACGGAGTGGGCGCCGAAGGTCTCCTCCACTCCTGCCAGAGACAGGATCCATCGCACCCATCTGGCGAGGGTGGTAGTGGAGACGGGTACGTGAGGTCTAACGTAAGACACCAATAGTTGGCCCGAAGATGAGACCCGAAGTGGGGATGTGATTTGTACGTATCGACGCAGAGTGGAGACCACGCAGAGCAGCGGTTCCGTAGGGAAAAAGGGGTAAAAAACCGACGAGGAGTCCGATTTGGTACGACGTGACACTTGGAAGGTAACTCCCTCGGGGGAGACCG